TTGCATCGGTAATGTGCAACAGGACCCATTTGTACCCACACTCTGTTTTATTGCATAACTGCTGGTCATGAAAGCTTCTTCTCCATCTGTCTGTGTGAATATTTGTACATATAGATATACATATAAATACATTTTTAAAAATATATATCTTATAAGTTACACTCACACATTCATCTATATGCATACGTGTGTGTGTGTGTGTGTGTGTGTGTGTGTGTGTGTGTGAGAGAGAGAGAGAGAGAGAGAGAGAGAGAGAGAGACATATATAAAGTTACAGGAGATATATATATATTTGAAAAGATACATGAAAAAATATTCCAAGGGGAAAAAGTCATTGGATCGCACCAGTGACCATGCAATAAAACTGTGGATATATTATCGAAGGCTTTCACGGAAAAAAAGCCTATACAGTATTCTCGAAGGCTTTCACAGCCGGGATCTGATGGTTGTTGTGGATTTTTCGGGCTCTTTGGCCATGTTCTGAAGGTTGTTCTTCCTGACATTTCACCAGAACAACGCCCGAAAAACCCACAACAACCATCAGAGTGTGGATAACTTTCAAACTGTCTTCAACTCCCTGCCCAATATTTCCTAAATGTTGCACATTGCGTGTAACTTGTGTGCATTTTCTATCATTTTTGCACACACTTTAGTGCATCTGATGAAGTGGAGAGTTGTCCACAAGAAAGGGAAAGGAGGTGGAGCCTGGAAGTTGTTCCTCGGAGTCAGTGGTAGAAACAGCCTCAGTTTCTCACCTCCGGCTATTGTTGGGAGTGAGGTGCTTCCTGGGAGCTGTCCTTGGTGCTAACCCCTGCGCCCTGTTGGCTTGCCAGACCAGCCCTGAATGGAACAAGCGGGAGGTTCAATGCAAACATGCAGACTTCGTGACCTCCTTGTCATGCCAGCCTCTTCTCCCACCCTCTTCTCAACCTTGGGTAACATCCAGCCTGAGAGAGATCTGAGCAGTCTCAAAACTTGCACTTATTTTGTGCATATTGACATTGGTACGTATTTTCTGACTGGGTTTTATTTTTGTTATCGGCTACCGTGGTTTATGGAAAATGCATCATTTAGTTCTTCAAGGGCAGGAGCCTATAACAGAGCTCTATATCTATCACATAATGCTAGAATTGTTGTTCTTTAAGAGTTATTTTCCCTCCAATCCAAGTAACACTTCTAAATGGAGCTTTTTGCACCTAGTTATGCCACCCAACATTTATCTCCAACTTTGCGCATTTAACATCCTATTTATTTTTGATCTCATTCCTTGGCTCTCAAGGTAATCGTGTGTTTCACCCAAGGATGGACACATGTGGATTCCACATGACGACAGTGAGGGAACCATCCATTGCTATGTTTCTCTGTCCTGACAGTGCAACATGAAAACAGCATTAACGCGTTGTATTTGGTTAAGGAATTGCCGTCCCTATACATTTCCTTGCGCTGAAGATATCATGAGTCCAGGTCCTTCCCCCCCCCTCCCTTTATGTAGCACCCGCCGTGATAAAGAGATCTCAGAAGTTTGGGGTCACCTCTTAATGTATTTTTCATTGCTCCCGAGGTACTCCCAGATTATTTTTTTAGCAGAGAAACAGCAGTGAGGCAGGAAACAAAAGGATTGTGCACATCAGAGGCACGATAGCTTGAGTATCAGTCTCAGTTCTCTGGAGGAAGGGAACTATTTTCTTCCTCCAGCCAAATTGGGGTGGTGGGGGGGAGAGGATGCCCTAGCCTTAGTATCTCTGCACATCCCTTTATCCACGCAGGGGAGAGAAAGAAGCTGCTGCCCTCTTGCGGTTGGATCAGGCCACTGCTTTCGCTCCTCTCCGAATTTCCGCCAAGTCAATTCAAACTTATGACAACCCTTATTCAGGGTTTTCTGGGTAAAGAATACACAGAAGTGGTTTATGGTTCCCTTCTTCTGGAGTCAGCCCTGGGACTGTGCAGCTTGGGCAAGGCTACACAGGATGGCTCTTCTCCCAGGGGGCACAAGTAGGGAATCGAACTCCCAACCTCTGGGTCTGTGACCAGGTCCCTAAACCATGGAGCTATCCAGCCAGGTGCTCTCTCTCCTACTGAAATCTAATTTAACTGAATGGGGCTGGGGTTGTGGACAGGATGGTATTTATTCCTGGATTGAGCTACTGCGGAGTTACTGGCCCATCTCTTGTGCCTTTAACTGCAGCCTGTCGTGCAGAAATTCAACAGGGGATGTTTCTCCCGGCATGAAGAAAACACAGAGAGAAACGTATTTAAAAATATAATCCATCCATCTAGACCTAAGTTTCTGAAAGGCAGGCTGTAATCCTAAAAGAAATTAAAAGGGAGGGAGGAGTCAAAACACACCAGCAGATGCAAATCCTGCTGGGCCATTATCTTCACCAGGACTGACGTATGAAGATGGTCCATCAACACCATATGGATAGCAGAGAGGAGGCAACAGGATGACGACATAAGGCAACAGCCATTTTCTCTCTTCTTTTTCCACTGGGTTATGAAACTGATGAGGGGGAGAGAAGCTGCCAGCGGGGATATAGTGCAAGCCAAGGGGAAAGAAAGCAGCTTCCCCTCTAAAGTCTTTCTCCCTCTGTATGCAACCCTCCTCTTCCCTCTCCAGAGGAGAAGAACACAAAGATCATCTGTCTGGGTTACAGCAGAAGCAGCTCAGTGGACCATGGGCTGTGTGGTCGCCGGGAAGGCATGGAAGCCCTTGACCACCCACCTCCAGGAGAGGCACCCATGTCCCAAAGTCCAACCAGCTCCCCTCCAGAGTAGCCTTGGGCAATACTACTTTTATTGGATCATGGAAACAGCAAAAAACGGGGGATTTTCTTTGAAAGAAATGACCTTTCTCACTCTGGGTGTGGAGGAAATGAAAATCCTAAGAACCGCTTGGCCAGCCCCGGGTGATTCTGCATCCTTGATATTATTGACATGGGCTCATTTTGCACCATTAATTTTTTATACTGGGCTGTTTCGTATCATTTCTATGGGTCCTGACTTCTTCTATAGATTGGTGTCGACGCCGCCTGTGGGGTCCCTATTTATGTCGGCTTCTTCGGCATCCATAGTATATAGACTGACAGAAAGGGTCGGCGTTGCTGCCTCGTCGAGGAGGGGCTGGTTCTGCATCTTTTTTTTTCCACTGACCCTCCCGGGCAGCCTTTCCTCTCTCTCTCCGGGCTCAAGGGCCCCCCTCCCCGCCCAAAAAAGCAGCAGCCAGGCCAGGCCAGGCCAGGCCCCGCCGCCTTCCTCCTCCTCCTTCCTCCTTCCTCCTCAGAGGAGCCCGTTCGGCCCGCAACCGAGCCTTCCTGGCGGCGGCCTTCGGGCCTCTCTTTCTCCTCCCGCCTCTCGAGGCTCCCTTTCCGGCGCGGCCTCTTTAAGGCGCGGCCTGGTCGGGCCCGGCGCGGCCTCCTCCTCCTCCTCGCAGGCGGGGAGGGGGGGGAGGGAGGGAGGGCGGCCCGGCCCGCCCCCCTCCCCCTCCTCGCAGGCGGGAAGGGAGGGAAGGGAGGAAGGGCGGAAGAGGGTCGGGTCCCGGCAGCCGCCGCCGCCATGGCGCCCCAGCCTCTCCCTCTCCCACCGCCTCCTCCTCCTCCTCCGTCCTCGTCGTCGTCGCTGCAGCCGCTGACCAGCTGCGGGCCTTGGGAGATGCGGGAGCGCCTCGGCACCGGCGGCTTCGGCAACGTCATC